AAAAAAAAAAAAAAAAAAAAAATATATATATATATATATATATATATATATATTTATTTTTATTTTTTTTTTTTTTTTATATTTATATATATATATATATATTTATTTATATATATATATATATATATATATATATATATATATATATATATATATATATATATATATATATATATATATATATATATATATATATATATATATATATATATATATATATATATATAATGGTTGTAAGAGTGGTCTCATTGTTTGGCATTAGAAAAAATGAACATATATAGTTAATACTGAATTAACTATAAAAGTTGATCAATATATGGAAACCCTTTGTTATGTATTTGTGTTTTTGTGCTCTGTTTCTCTGTGTTTTTTTCCCTCTCTCTCTCTCTCTCGCTCTGTTCTCCCATATCTGCTCTCATGTATTCTCAGGTTCCGTTCATTGTTCCATTCAGCTGTCAGTCAATCCTCCCCGGTTACGTCACTCTTACATCACATCCAATAAGCAAAGACCACCCGTGTTAAAAGCGTGCGCCAGACCACTCGCCTTCCCTTCCTTGCATTTTTCTCGTTCTCTGCTTGTTTGTTTGTATTTATCGCGTGCGTTTAGGAATAACCCGTCTAACTGTGTTTTTGTTGTTGCTCGTTTCTGTGTGCACGTTATCTGTCCGTTACGCCTAGTTCAGACTGCGTGATTTTAGCCCCGATTTTGGCTCGCCGACAGGTTTTGAGAAATCGCCGACAAATGCCTGAAATCACAGGCAAATCGCTGCTCGTGCACGTGACTGACAATCACACAGTATGAACTATCAAAGACGCGATCTGAGAGAATCGCCGATGAGTCGCCGATGCCTCTGAGATATTTGGCGTGCTGAATATCTGGAGCTGTCGGCGATTCAAATCATGCCGTGTGAATTGAGTTTTGACTGAAAATAACATCAGCGATTGCCTACAGCCAATGAGAGAGCAGCTTTCACTTGTGTGTGTGTGTGTGTGTGTGTGTGTGTGTATACCTGCTGCAGGCTAGCGGGAGGCTGGGGGAGAAGTTAAAAACGCTCTTTTTCGGTTTATTTGGACCCACGAAATGGAGGAAAAACTAGTGGAGGTTTGACAGGACTCAGGAGCAACCGTGTCTGTTTGACGTTTCATACATAAAGAAATTGGTTTATTATCAACGTTGAGGAGAAATGGCTAATTCCCTTTAAACCCTGGTGAGCAAACATGTACATGTTCTACCCCATTAAAGGCTTCTTTCTCATGATGTAGTTAATAACAAAAGATATACGACGTGTTTTTGGCTGTGAGACTTAGTTTGGACGAAGTTGTCGGCGATTCTCCCTATAGTAAAGTCATGCAATGTGAAAGTCCCTGTCGCCGAACCATCTTGCAGTGTAAACAAAGCAGCAACGAAACGCTAGCCCAGATAGTCAAGCAGTGTGAAAACATCTGTGACACCACTAGTTTAAAAATCATGCAGTCTGAACTCGGCATTATTCGAACATTGTTCTTAGTTTATCGTTCTTTACGAGGCTTGGACGAAGCGGACAGGTAAGAAGGTCACGTGACATACATTTCGCAACACATAGGACTACTCTGCTGTCTAGTACACTAGGTTAGGGGCGAGCGCCACTCCTTGTACTTTTTGGATAGCTAGATAGAGTAGATAGTCAGGACTCGGAAGATCTCCGCGTGTTAATTAAACTGTTTTTCACATAGTTAGTTAGCTAGATGCTTCTGGGAAGTTAGATTTAGTTGAGGTTTTGTTCTTTTCATTTCTTTAGCGCCGCCCGCGTCCCTTCTGCCAGCTCTCTTGTTTTTTTCCCGTCTTTATTTGTCTCAGTGTTGTATATATTGTAAATAGTATATTTTTGCCTTACTTACTTTTTCTTTATTTTTGATTAATTCGTTGTTGTCGTTCACTTTGGGATTGTAAATAAAAACACACATATTTTGGCATTACTTTGGTTGTCTTTCCACTCATTCACTGTTTATATAAATATATTTTAATTAAATAAATGTCAAACCCCACAACCCTAGACTAACATCAGGGGTTTGTAACACCCTTGTAGGATTTTCTTTGTCCAAATAATTTGTATCACCTGCTATTAATACACTATTGTTTTGATACCATTGTACTGTATGTGAATGTACATGCATGCATTTATTTATTTACTTGTGCATTTAAATTATATACAGAATTTGTATTTTTATTTTTTTATATTTTATAATTGTATTGTACTTAGCACAGTTTCCTAAAAATTTATAAAAATGGTTTGAAATAGACTTATCAGTTTTTGCAAATGCATTCTTCATTCAAGAGAGCGTTTGTGATCATCTGACTCTCACCAGCAACTGAAGACGCTCTTCTGTGGTTTGCTCTTCCTGGTGGGCGGAGCTTGTGCCCAGTTCTGCCTTCAATTCTGTTTCTGGCTCCTCCCCCTCTGCAGGAGTCTCCTCCCCCTTAACAGGGGCCTCATCTACTACTGTGGGTGGGGCTTCAAATGTGACCTGTCAATCAAAAACAAGAAAAACCGAAATCAGCATCAAAAGATCACACGTTATATTTAAATAAAAAAAGCTAAACTAATTAATATTTGACAAAGAAAATCAAACGTACATGATTTTACATGGAAATGTAAATATATATTTTGCATGAAATGAAAAGCAATTAAATAACACATTTAGTATAAATTTAAAGTTAAATTAAATTTTACATATTTTGCATGCAATAATTAAGATAAGTGTGGAAAATACATTAAAACATTAAAAGCAGCATATTATTTTAAATAATACAATTAATTTATGGTGTGAATAAAACTCAAAAACAATTAATTTTTTTTACAAACCCCACTTAAATTTCAATAACCAATATTTAATAAATAATTGTTTTTTTATTGTTTTTTTTATAAACTTAATTTATTGAACACAAGTGGAGAGCATTTGTTGTATACAAATTTCCAATTTCTGCTTTTTTTGCTTTTTGATCACTTTTGTA